TAATGCTGATGAATGGTGAAGCAGTAATGGATCAAGTGTACTGTAGAAAGACGTGTCCATCCATCATTCATGATCTGAATAGGTGCTCTCATAGGCTTATTGATTGAAGAGTTAAAATCATGAGTCCATAAATTGAACATCTGTGTATGGAGAATGTCTTTCTGCTTGTCTTTGTCTCTGCAAAAAGATTTCACCTGTTAAGATGCTAATCTGTGATGCATCAAAGAGGAAGAGAGAAGGGGCAGGTGAGAGCTATACTGAGATGTGGGTCCTGCAGAGCAAATAAGTTCTTGTTAGGTGACACGGTGTCTTTGGAAATTTTCCTGTAGAGGAACTCTTGTAGTAAAAGTTTCAGTGTGTGCACTCAAGACTTTGTACATGCTCTATTTTAGTTGACAGAGAATCAGAATCAGCTTTATTGGCCAGGTGTGTTGGACACACGAGGAATTTGTCTCTGGCACAGCAGCTCTCTGTGTATCTACATGTCCTTGTGTAAGGCAGCAACAGTCAAGTAAACAATATAAGGCTGAAAGAACAAAGGAAAGAATTAACGTGCAAACAAGCAAAGGAACGTGCATTAGTAAAAAAAGATAACAAATAAAGTTACTATAAATAGCGATCTGTGTGTGTGTGTGTGTGTGTGTGTGTGTACACATACATATATACACACAGTCTAGATGCATTTAACGGATCTGTATCCAGAAGGTATATTTACAGGTATTGCACTGAGGGTTATTGATCAGCCATACCGTTGTGGGTTAAGTGTTAATCAGAGTGACGGCCCAGGGGAAGAAACTGTCCTCGTGCCTGGTTGTCTTGGCGCACAGTTACCTGTAGCGCCTGGTGATGATGTTAGACGTCCTCTTCAGGTCCTGGGAGACAGTGGAGCCCAGGAACTTGTAGGACTTTACTGCTGATACAATGCTGCCGAGTATGGTGAGGGGACTCGTCCTGAAGTCCACTGTCATCTCCACTGTCTTCCAGGTGCTGGATGTGGTTTTCCCCAGCCTCACCTGCTGCTTCCTGTCTGTCAGAAAGCTAGTGATCCACTGACAGGTGGGGGCAGGCACTGTAAGATGGGTCAGTTTGGAGTGGAGGATGTCTGGGATCATGGTGTTGAACGCCGAGCTGAAGTCCACAAAGAGGGGCCATGCGTAAGTCCCTGGGGAGTCGAGATGTTCCAGGATGTAATGCAGTGCCATGTTGACTGCCACTGACCTGTTTGCCCAGTAAACTGCAGGGGGTCCAGCAGGGGGGCAAAAATGTCCTTCAGGTGGACCAACACCAGTCTTTCAAAGCACTTCATAACTACAGATGTCAGGGCGACAGGTCTGTAGTCGTTCAGTCCACTGATGGAGGTTTTCTTGGGGACTGGGATGATGGTGGAGTGTTTGAAGCAGGAGGGAACTTCACGCAGCTCCAGTGATTTGTTGAAGATAAGGTGTGAAGATGGGGGCAAGCTGATCGGCACATGCTTTCAGGCAGGACGGTTCTGAGGTGGGGAGGGTGAGGGGGGAGTATTTTTTCTCAAACCTACAGTAGAACACATTCAGGTTGTCTGCTACTTGACAGTCCTACACAGCAGGGGTAGATGGTTTCCTGTAGCCAGTGATGTTTTTCAGGCTCCCCCACACAGATGAGGGGTCGTTGGCTGAAACCTGGGTTTTCAGCTTTTCAGAGTAGCTTCTCTTTGCTGCTCTGATCTCCCTTGTCAGTGTGTTCCTTGCCTGGTTGTACAGAATCCTGTCCCCACATCTGTAGGCCTCCTCTTTGGCACGACAAAGCTGTTTGAGTTTTACTGTAAACCAGGGCTTGTTGTTGTTTTATGTGCAGAAGGTCTTGGTGGGCACACACACATCCTCACAGAAACTGATATAAGATGTCACAGTGTCAGTGAGTTCGTCCAGGCCTGTAGCTCTGACTTAGCCTCCTCAGTCCATCTCTTCACTGTTTTGACCACAGGCTTCACAGCTTCAAGTTTCTGCCTGTAGGTTGGAATAAGATGGACCATACAGTGATCTGAGAGTCCGAGGGCTGCACAGGGGACAGAGCGATAGGCGTATTTTATTGCTGTGGAGCAGTGGTCCGATGTGTTTTTGTCCCTGGTGGGACAGGTAACGTGCTGTCTGTATTTGGGCAGTTCTTGGGTGAGGTTTGCTCTGTTAAAGTCCCCTAGAACAATGAGTGGGGAGTTCTATGCTAGTTACCTCTTCGGCCAGGTGCTGCAGTGCACTAGCTTGGCCCTGCGGTCTTATGTACACTCCAATCAGAATGAAAGATGAAAATTCTCTGGGAGAATAAAAAGGTTTGCAGTTGATGCAAAGAGTCTCTAAGTCCATGTTACATGTTCTCTCTAGCACCGTGACATTTGTGCACCAACCTTCATTAATGTAGAGACAGATTCCCCTGCCTCTCGTTTTCCAGGACAGTTCCATTACGCAATCAGCCCTTTACATCCAGAAGCCCAGTACTTGGATTGCGCTGTCTGTGATGGAGTCCCTAAGCCAAGTCTCCGTAAAACATAAAGCAGCAGAGCATGCAAAGTCGGAGTTAGTCCTGTTGACGAGAAGGAGTTCATCCATTTTGTTGGCTAGAGAGCGGAGATTCGCTAGGTGGATAGACGGGAGTGGTGTCCGGGTCCCTCTCTGGCGTAGCTTAACCAGGGCCCCAGCTCTCTTTCCTTGCCGGTGATTTCTCCAAGGCCCACAAAGTGCAATTGCACCTCCGACCAGAATGTCCACACAGCAATTTGCATTCACAAAAATTGGAGAAAGGTCGTTTGGTGTGAGTTGTCCAATGTTTAATTGTTCTTCTCTGGTGAAAGTAATCTGGGATAGGTTGCAAAAGACCGAGAAAATGAGGGGAAAAAAAACAACCAACACAGGAGAGCACACTTAGGGTACATTTACACGGAAACGCTCTTGACTGTAAACGCCTACTTTAGTATGCGTTTTGGCCTTCCGTTTAGATGGAAACAGGTTAGCCGGGTAGCAAAAACGGAGACCTTTTAAAACGGGTCCCAAAGTGGAGAGTTTCAAAACGCCAGCTAAAACGTTTTTGTGCCAACATTATAATCCGCATATGTTTACGAAACGATGAGGCCCATCGCCCTGCGTCAGCTACTGCTAGTGTCACATTGACCGAGACATCAACATAAACAATGGCGAACTATATGCTTTCATGCTACACACAGATGCTAATGAACTTATTAGCATTAGTACAACTGCTCCTTTACTACTGCTGCGACCAACAAAATAATGTTGGTAACTTCGTAGGTCTCATGTCTTTAGATCCACCGCGGAGGCCAACTCCTCAGCAAGGAAAATAGATATTGGCTGTCCTTAAAGTCGCTAGAAGTCGCTAATGATGCCATCGTCTTCAAGGGTAATGCGCATGCTCAGACATCGTTTTATTCGTTTTCACTGTTTTCATGTCAACGCAAATACTTCTCGTCTACACAGCAATTGTTTTAACGAAACTATGTGTATACAGTCAAGAGCGTTTCCGTGTAAACATACCCTTAACCAAGGCAGCTGTATCGCTGGGATATTTAATGATGAATATGGTTCAGTCCATCATGCCAGAAGTGTTGTGAACAGAACAGCTCCTGTTGGTCAGTGTTGGCCTACCACATCATAGACTATGGAAAATATTCCAATATGCTAGACTTTGTCATTTACTATGACACACTAAATGATATAAAATGTCATATCTGACGCCATTTGTCGGTTCCAGTGCACTATGTCCGTTGCAATCGCGGTTAAACCATGTAGTTTGAACCAGGCATTAGCAAGGGTTGTCTAAGGAAGTAGTGTTTCCTTACAGTAGTTGTTGGTCATTGTTTGGGTTTTCTTAGGTATTTTTTAGTCAGATAGATATTGGTTAGATACTTGTTGTATTAGAAATGTTTAGTGGAGACAGGATGTCTAGTTTAAATGCTTAGTCATTCTCATGAGTTTTTTGCAGGGTGCATTATGGTCAAGGATAACTAGATAGAAAAGTTTGAATGTCAGGAGGCGGGTTATTATTACGACGTGTATAACTGTAGCCTTAGCCATAATATGTTCTTATGTTTAAGACACGACATGTACTAGAGGTCGTGAGAATGTTTTTAGTTACACACCACTTAATCAACAGACACACACACATTCACACATTGATTTGCTTCATGTTTTGACTATGGCTAGGGCCAGCTGCAAAGCTGGCAACAGAGACGTCCCGGTTGACGTTTCTGTGTAGTATGGGGATAGCCCAACCGAAGTGATAAAATGTATAGGCCTGTTGTGGTTCAGGGTCTTTCATTCTTCGTCTGCCTGCGCGCAGTATTGAAGGTGGAAGATACCTGGACGTGTAATGTTAATTTTACCTGTGATCCTTTGAATAAACCAGCACGATTTTTTATATCCAAGTGGACTGCCTCGTCTCTCTGAGTTCCTGGTTAAAAGAACTGGAAAATAGCTTTCAGTTTGTATAGTATTAGTAAAAGTAAACATGCAGTCTGACTGTATTGTTGGTGATTGAGTAGTTAATAAATTTAGGTGTAGAACGGTGTAAATAATACAGTTGGGGAAACAGTACTGCCATCACTTACCAGCCTTTTTATCATCCAAATTTATTTTTGTAGAGAATGTGGACAAAACATCTAAAATGCAATAGGCTACCTGTAAGATAAGTATTTTCATACTGGAGTATCAGTTCATTAACCAGTCTTTTCTTCCTCTCCTGATTATTGTAGGTGCAGCCTCCTGACCAACCATCACTTTTTTGTGACCCGGGATGTCCTGGTGATATTCACTACCTTCACTTCAGTGTTTCATCTGTATGCACAAGGTGATACACATCACAAACAAAGAGGTCACTGATCAGCACTGGATGGGAAAAGTGCATTCATCTTCTTTCAAGGTTGGACAAGGATACTTCAGACCTGAAAAACCTCAAGATACAAATGATCTAAGGAGTCTCCATCTTTCACACTTAAAAGCCACTGTTTTTCCAGAGAGGCTGTTGTGAGAAGGTGTAATGCAAACCTCAGTGCTCTCTCTAAGGGAAGAAAGCATAGGGAAGGTCCAAGAACCTTCTGAGGAAGAGGGCAAAAAAGAAGCCGGCCAGTAGTTGGGGGACCAATGGTTACAAAATGAATAGACATGGTTGTCCACTGTCATAGTGGAACAAAGAGACCAGCTGGGAACTTGAATTGTTCTATGTTGTTTTTACTGGCTTATATGAATTAATACTGTCTGCTCACACATAACCCCCAGTGCTACGGATAAACTGTGTAATTTTCGCTCTTTCTCAACAACTTGATTTACATGGATACTAATGGATGTTCTGCTGGATTTTCCCCCAGATGTTTTGGAAAGAACCACAGCATCTCTTCTTGCTTTTTGTCTTCCAAACACATACCTGGGGCAGCTGGCAGGTGAGGTGGTTTGAATCAGCCACCAGCAGGGTTTAGGGATGCCCCGACACAGAAAAACCAGGCTACTCCACTGGCCCGCTTACAGACTGGTGTTTCTAATACGGTTCCTGGACTGAAAGCTAAATCATTTCCTTCTTGTACGAAGAGCAAGGGGGTTGTCATTTTATATTTACAGGGCCTTTTTCCTAACATTGCTACAGCTGCCCAGAATGCTAGTCCCCTGGTGCTGAGAACTTTAAATTTGAGTGAATCAGACAAGCCCATTTCCGATTTCTGGTGCTGAACTGCACTTTTTCCTAGCAGAAAACCGCAGATAAAAGAAGAGAAGGCCCACTCAGATTTTCATCCCAGACATTATTCTTTCAAGCTCTTTCATCTTTCTTTCAGCCTCATTTCATTTCTTGCTGTTGCTTTAGTTCTGTCTTAAAGGTCTATCACCTACCCATAGTGCTCTGCTTACTCTTATACCATGCTGAACTTCCGTTTATAGACCAAACTAATCAGTCTGGATCATTTCAACACCAGGCTCATCAGTTATCTGAGTTTTTTTTTTTTCTTTGAAATCACAATTTTATTAACGGTTGGTGGCATAAACTTTTTTTTTTTTTTTTTTTTTTTTTTTTTTTTTAGCAAAATTATAAATAACAGCCATGTTTTTTTATTGCACTGATTTTCACTAAGCCTTTATTTACCACAAAGAAGATTTATGCTTGCTTTTACTCTTTAGGAAATGGACCTGGGAGACTTATCATTTTGTATTGGCATGTATTTGTAATTGACTGACATGTTGCGTAAAACTGCATTGGCCTGCATTTCTGTAAGAGACAGCTGCCCAGAAATAATTTCCTCATCATAATTTGTGGCTTATTTGTTCATCCTGCCTTTCCACTTTTTTTTTTTGTTTTCTTGGCTGACAGTGAAGCAAGCCTTTCACAGCAGATGCGTGTAAGCCTCCTTTAATAACACATACACAGTAGATCAGGATTGATCTAAGAAAACTCTCATCTCAGTGTGGTAATACAGAGGAGTGTTTTCCTCTTTACATGTGAAAGAGGAAGCCCTTCTCAGTCATTGCTCCATCTGCTTGTATGTCTCCTTTACATTTTTTTTCTTTTTGCCATTCTGTTATTTCTACTCCAAAACAACCAGTTGATTTAATACATTTCTTTGAATGATAAATTCCTTGGCATAGCAGTTGCTGAGCAGACGCACTCCACAAAACACACAGGAAGTTATGCCAGGTGGCAGCAGTAAGAGCGGAGGGCGGGGTCCATCCTCGTCACCCCTTCCCCACACTGTGGTTCCGCCCAGCAGACCTCTGCGACCCTCCCGCTATGTCCCCGTGTCAGCAGCCACCTTCTTCCTTGTTGGCTCCACCACACTGTTCTTCTGCTTTACGTAAGTGGAGGCAGTGCATGTCTCACTCACACACGCAAGCCTGTTTATGAGCTGTGATGAAAAGACTATTGCATCTCACAAAAGAAAATCTGTTGTAACAAATGTAAATGATAACGGAGAGCAACAAGATGGTTTTAGCTGGCTGCAGCATGAAGTTAGCCTGGGTTAGCTAAACCATTTTTGAAGAATGTGGTCCAGGAGCCAAAAGAACATAGTTGTCCAGACTTGTTCTATTTTGTACACACAGCATCTGTTGCCATGCATGTCTGTCAAGTCTTACAAGAGGATCCCTCCTCAGTTAATTTTTTTTTTTTTTTTTTTTTCCAATGAAGGAAAAAATTTTTTTTTTTTTGTTTGTTTTTTTGTTTTTTTTTGTTTGTTTGTTTGTTTTTGACTGCAGCCAGGCTGCGTCTGTCCTGAGTGGTTCCAATGCAGTATGGCCTGGTTACATCCTGGGAAATTTCATCATCTGGGAGGTTCAGCATTGATGCAAACCAATAGAATGACCTGAAAACCATAGTATGGACTGAGGTTGTTTTGATCAATTCTGGCAGAATGTGAAGTCAGTGGTATTAAAGACTGTAATCACTAATCTAGCTGACACCTCCCTCTGGAGTGAGTTTATCTGTGTTTGTCAAAGAGTGACACTGTGAGAAAAGGAAAAAAAAAAAGTGTTGAGAGTGGGAGTATGTGAAGCAGTGTCTGTGGGACAAACTGCATGTATGCAGGTTTAAATGTTAGAAAGTCAGGCTGCCAG